GAAAGAAAGAAAGAAAGAAAGAAAGAAAGAAAGAAAGAAAGAAAGAAAGGAAAAGACTCAGATGTAAGAGAAGCCTATCTGATAATATAAGCCAAGGCTGAGGTGGTGATGGAACTAACTTCTAGGCAGTGAAAAGGACAAGGAAACAGATTTTCCCTTTCAGTATCTGCCCACAACCAGCCCAGTAGACCGACAGCTTGACAATAAACCAGAGTAAGACTTCTGTCTTTCAGAACTGTGAGGCAATCAACTTGTGCTGTTATAAACAATGAATCAGCGGTAAAATGTTACACAGCAAAAATCAAACAAACAAAAAAACCATAGAGGATAAGGGAAACCTACATGTTTATTAATAAGGCAATAAAAAGGCAAATGATAATACATATTACATGAAATAGATAGTCATTAACAGAATGGGGTAAATCTGGACACCTGACACTAGATTTGATCTTAATATACTACTGCTACAAAGCAATCTTTTGTAAAGCTCTATACATATATACACCTATGCAGGGTACACATAAAACACCTGGAACACTTCCCTAATTATTTTTGGTGTTTGTGGAGAATGGCAGAAAAGCAGTCCTTCATTAATTTCTTAACATCCTCACAATTTTTTTCTATATGTTTGTATCTACCTTTCTTTCAAATTTGTTTTCAGTGCTGGAGATGAAACTCAGGGCTTCACTCATTTTAAATACACACTCTACTGAAGAACCAGTCTGCCTATAATTTAGGCAAACTAGGTTTATTCCTATTTATGATTTAACCTCTTATTCTCAAGGACTTGGCTATGCCCCACCTGTAACCTTAACTATCAATGGGTCTGTACTGCCTGTTCTAGGAATGGCAATCATGTCTTTGTTTCGAAAGGTTATATGATCACCTTGCTATGACTATCTGTTGTCATGACTACCTTGTTATGCTGCCCACCTTGCAACCAAGTCTTTGGTTCATGAGGGACTAACTTGTTATATTTATGTTCTGCTCCTGTAACCCCGCCTATTTTGACCACCAAATCACCTATTTGGAAACCTCCTACCCTGAGTTATAAAAGCTTATTCTTCTCCATATCCAATGCAGACCTCTCAAACTCTGCCTTAGTGAGTGGCATCCCTTGTACATGAGGAAAACACCTTGCTTTAATTAATTGCTTGTTTTAATTAATTGGTCATGATGATTTGGGTCAGTAGTCTTTCTCCTCACATCTTTAGGATTAGCATTACCATTGAACTACACCCTTAACCTCTGAATTATTTCAGGATACAATTTAGCTCAGTGGCAGAGTACTTACTTGTCCGGCATACATGGGGCCTAGGTTCAGTCCCCAGTAACCACAAAAATAGCCAGAATCTAACTGAATTTCTAAACCAGCTTTTCTATTGTGCCTTGCTATGGTCTGGGTGTGAGATGTCCTCTACGTGCTCATGTGTCTCAACACTCACTTGGTCCCCAGCCTAGGGCACTGTTTCACGAGACTGTAGAATTTTGGAGCTGTGGCCTAGCCAGCAGAAGTGGGTCACTAGGGTGGGCCCTGGAGAAATCTCATTCCAGTTAGGGTTTCTCCTTTCAGATCTATCCAGATGTGAAGAAGCTCTACTCAGCACTACCACTGTCGGAGACCAATCTACTCTGCTGTTCCTTTTCCTGCCATGATGAACTATAGTCCCTAAAACCGTGAGTCAATAAATTCTTCCTCTTTTAAGTTGCTTCTGTCAGGCATCTTGTTGTAGCGACAAGAAAAGAAGTGGTTTCTCTGAGAATGACGACGTTCTTAGTTGTTCTCTACAGCAAACACATTCTTCAAAGAGTAGCAGAAACTTGAAAGTATAGAGAACATCGCCATCTCTTCTTTATGTTATGGCTATGGGGTTTTCCCAGTTTACAGGGCTGCACCAATCATACTCCTGTACAGCTTTCACTTGGAAGCAAAAGAGACAGCACAGCAAGACTGAGTGAGGAGGCCAAGATTCCACTGCAATCCTCCTTAACAGTACACACAGACCTTACACCAGAATCCCTGGATCTGTGTGAAGCGACTTGGGTTGGGGAGCCCTCAAAGGAGGAACTCTTACTTACTCAGTTACCTTTCTAATGCTCTAACCTGAATTCCCAGCTAGCACAACTTCCTCTTAGCTACCAGAACTTTCTACAGTCTTTCTTGTTCTGCTGGCAACAAGCAAGCTAAATTTCCTTGTGTCTGGGAATGTCTTCATTTTGCCTTCCTTCTTGAAGACAGTCTTCAGTGGATACAGACTGAGTGACAGTTTCTGTCTACATATGAAAGCCATTTGATCTTTTCTGGTCTCTGGTTTCTGATGAAAAGTCAAAGGTCACCATTTCTCTCTGTCTGCTTTCAAATTTTTGTTTTTTGTAATTTGCCTATGACTGCTCAGTTCAATATGATGGACAGCAGTCATGAATGGCCATTACCACAAACTGTGGCTTCTCTAAGTGATATGTGCTGTGTATTTAAACATTTAACAGATTGGTTCACTAAGTGTGTGTGTGTGTGTGTGTAAAGACACACACACATATAAATATATATATATATAAATGTAAGCATAAAGACACATGCATGTACACACAAACACTCAGTACCTTGATAATTTTATATTGGTTACATGCAAAATAATGTTTGTATAAAGTGTATTAAATAAAACATTAGATTACTTGCTCCTGTATTTAATATTTAGATACTTGGACTGCATGTATGGTTCACACACTACTGCCAGTGATGGGTGACTCTTATGAAAACTTCCTTCTCTCAAAATTTTCCTTTACAACTGCAAAATACATTTCACTCCTTAGATTTTGTAAGTTACATAACCACATTCCTGGTGGGTGGATATTTATGTCTTTATTTTCTGTGTGTACATGTATGTGCATATATTTCTATCTATGCATACGTGTGTTGCTGTGGAATAATCTTTTGTACACTGTGAAGAAGCATCACTCTGATTGGTTTAATAAAAAGCTGAATGGCCAATAGCGAGGCAGGATTTCCAGGCACAGAGGATGCTGGGAAGAAGACAGGCAGAGATGCGAGGAGGTACAGAGGAAACGGGAAAGTGGGATGGACAGCACGTAGATGAGATAGACACTGGTTAATTTAAGTATAAGAGCTAAAAACAAACCTATCGGCCAAGCTTTCATAATTAATAATTAGTCTCTGTGTCGTGATTTGGGAGCAAGTGGTTGGGACAGGAAACCGCCACCTACATAAGAGCTATAGTGATATTTCATTTATATTTTAATAAACAAAACTGAAGATCAGAAAGTAAAACAGTCCCACTGGTCAGCTTTACAGACCAAGCAGTGGTGACACACACCTTTAATCTCAATAGCCACACTAGATTGCCATTGAAACCATGCAGTGCAAGCCTTTAATCCCAGCCCTACATGGCTGGAGATGGGAGGAGACAGCTCTCAGACACAGTCTCATTCTGAGATACCTGGAGGCAGGATTGCCATTTCAGACTGAGGCAGAGATTAAGAGTCAGTGGTTGACTGTTTTGCTTTTCTGACCTTCAGGTTGAACCCCAATTTCTGTCTCTGAGTTTTTATTAACCATGCTTCAGCTAGTGGACAAGCCTAAGCTATAGGCTGAGCTTTTATAATTAACAAGTCTCTGTGTTATGTTTTGTGAGCTGGCAGCCCAAAGAAAAATCTGTCTACAAGTTCCCAGTTGGTAGACTGTTTAGAAAGAATTAGGAGAGTGGGCCTTGAGGTTTCAAAAGCCCCATGAAAGGCCTAGGCTCTCCCTCTGCCTCCATCTTGTGGGTCAGACGGAGCTCTCAGCTACTGCTCCAGTGCTATTCCTGTCTGTTTAGTCATACTTCTTATAATGATGGCCATGGACTAACCCTAGGAAAGTCACGCAGTAGCAGCAGCACAACTTTTCCAGGGGAGTCATACAGAAACATCCATTCATCCCAGGTAGAGAGGGCACCAACAGACAGGCACCAATTCTGTGTACCTCCAGCTTGGCAAACCCGTGCATTGACTGGGGTTTCCTACAGTACTATGCCCCACCCCAGCAAGAGTAACTCCAGAAACGTCTCCAACCAGAGTCGCTCTCCCACCTCTGAGAGACTCTCACACCACCAGCTACCCAGTCCCTAACACATACACACCTAGGGCAGGAACGAGTGGGGATCGGAATCCCAGATTACGGCCATGAATACCCTCTTGCTCCTCCCATGACATTCTCATTACCACAGACCTAGTTTTCTGTTGTACTATTCTCCTGAGTTCATTGCTGCCATCACAGGTCAAGGTCTTCTGAAGGTCACCAAGTTTTACTCTGTGTCTCGTGATGGTGCCAGAAGGAAATAGCTACACTACAAGTACAAACTCTTCCATAACTTCTCTTACCTAAAATGAAAAATGTCTGTCCATATAGACACACAGAGAAGTACCCCCACCTTTGGACAGAGGACAGCCCAGGCCAGAGTAAGAACTGTTAGGCACTGTATTCTGCTGGTGTTTGTCACTACCATAGCACTGACTTTACAGGGAGAAACGAGTTGAGCTAAGCAGATTCACAGGAATTCAGAGCTTCAGAGGCTACTGAGGATGAACCCATCCTGCTCAGCTGGCTTTGGACCAACCTCCTATTTCTGATAACACTACAAAGGTAGACATCAGCTCTGCTATTCCTCAGGATTTAAAATATCCAATGAAGAAAGGGAAGTACTCTGGCTTTACTAAGACTCATTAAGAGACAGTTCTTTCCTCTGGATAAAAAGGACAGAAATTCTACCTCTAGCCCTGGATGGAGTCCTGACACTCTAAACTAGCCAGAACTTTACATATTCTGTGTCCTTCCTTTAAAAGTTAATCCAGGGGCTGCAGAGATGGCTCGGTGGCTAAGGGCACTGACTGCTCTTTCACGGGATCCAGATTCAATTCCCAGCACTCACATGGTGTCGTACAACCATCTGTAACTCCAGTTACAGAGCATCTGACAACTTCTTCCGGCCTCCATGGGCACCTGGCACACATGGTGCACACAAACATGCAGGCAAAACATTCACACACACAAAGTAAAAATAATAATTTTTCAAAAATTTTAAAGAGTTAATCAAGTGGGGCCTGTCAATTACCTGGCGAGGAATTTGCCTCTCCCTGCTTCCTCCACCACCAAAATCTGATTCACCTTAAGATATGCTAAGAAGAAGGAGGACTAATTGTCCCTTAATGAAATAATGTATTTATCCTTCCCAGAAGCCTTTGGGTAGTGCCTTGTAAGCTTCCATCATGTAACCTTTGGAGCTTGCCCGATTTTCAGAGTTACCCAGAAAACTGTAACTTTTCCTTTGTACCCTTTCCTTTTTTCAACTATTGAACAAAATTCCAAGCACGCTTTTCTTGGCGCTCTGGGGCTTCTCACGACTTCTCTGAAGCTACTTCCCCTACCACACGACTTTTTGCCTACTATGCAGTATTGTGACCTCCGCTGCTGAACCTGCCTCTCAGATCCTAACTCTAGGGCATGGCTTTCTTCCTCTTTTCCATCTCCTTCCTCCTGGCAGCTGTCAAAGTTTACAACCTGTCTGCCCTGTTATTTTTCTCAAACTCTAGTAACATTTTCTTCAAGCTTCCTTCTGAGTACATTTCTAAATTCTTTTATTAATGAAATTAAGAACCCAATAGAGGGGACCAAATTCCCTGGCAACAGAAGGCATTTTAAATTATAATGAATGACCCCATACCTCTCCTTTGGCTAAGAAAATGGGATAGACATTCCATCTAGAGGATCCCCTACCCCACCTTTTTATTTTCTTTTAGAAAAGCATCTGGGAGGTTTTGTAAGATGGTGGTTATAGGACAACACCTGTTTTGGACCTGGCAGAATTCTCTGTCCCCAGGTCTACTCCTTTGATAAGTGTAAGGTTTTTGTACCTTTTCCTTGAGGGTCAGCTTCAAACTGGACTTTGCATATCTCTGTTAAAATCTAATTTTGCAAGTGAGAAAAGTAACAGGGGCTAAGAAGGGAAACACAATCACATCTTTGAGTCAGAAAGCAACTTATGCAAAGACAAGCTTCACTTACTGTCCCTCGAGCCGCCAGCAAATCCACAGCCATTTCCTTTCTTAGTTTTCCTGCCAAGGAGAGCTGAGTGCTGACAAAGTATGCCTGGAAAGGGGAAAAAAATGTGGTAAAGAATTCTGGTACCAATGAAAGGCTTGGAGCAAGGAAGTTAAAACCACCCACAATGAAGGTCTGGAGAGGTGGCCCAGTGATTATGAGCACTTCCTGCTCTTGCAGAGAACCTGAGTTTGATTATCAGCACCCATAACTCCAGTTTCAGGGGATCCAACACCCTCTTCTGGCCTTCTCAGGTTCTGTGCTCACGGACACGGACACACACACACACACACACACACAAACATAGACACATAAACATAATTTAATTTTTAAAACACACCCATAATGGTCATGAGATTCCCAAGAAAGCTATCCCCTATAAACAACGCAAACCAAATGGTAAGAATGCTGACCATTCTGTCAGAACTCATTCCTTAACTACACTTCTAATTTACACTCGTCCCTCCACGCCCACCTACAGGTCTATTAGCGCCTAGTACAAAAACTGGCAATGTCAAAAGGTTGGATATGCCTGATTTAAAGTACAAATGATAATGTGTTCAAGTTCTCTGCAAATTCAATGCCAGTCTACCTAAAGGACTTGAGTGCTGGCCATTTGGGAAGTCCTGGAACCAATCCTCTGTGCAGCAAAGGAGGGGCTGTGCTGCCGACGTGGCTGAGGTGGATAGCCAAGGGCTTCCCAGACTGCCCAAAGTGACAAGACATTGCAAGGCGTACAGATAAGGGAATTCTGCTTCCAGTCCAACTCTCTAGACAAGTCTAAGCAAATGCCCCAGCCACACTATGCTTTGGTTTCTTCATCTGCACCGCGGGCACAATGGGGGCCATAACTTGGTATTAGATGCGCTTATTCATCAAGTTGGCCTAGACTGCTAGGTATCAGCTGTTGCTTTTATGACCTGCATCGCTAAGATGCCACAGAAGATGCACCGGTCCCCGGCCCCCGCAGTCTGGGCCCGCCGCTCTCCGTGACGGGCCGAGCCAGCCGGCGGGTCCCCAACCCAAAGGCCGCAGAGCAGAAGCCAGGCCGCGCCAGGCCCGCCGCGAAGCCCACCGCCCGCTACGCCCCGCCCGCCCATTCCGTCGCACTCACGGACGTCGGCGCTCGCCCCAGCCGCCCTCAGCACGAGCGGTCTCGAGGATGTCTGCCCCAGACGCGCACTCCTTGCAGTCAGGATCACCTCGGCCACGAGCGCCCCCCAAAACGCCGCGAGCTGCCCCGCCACCAGGAGAAAGCCCAGAGAACTACCACTCCCGGCATGCCTCAGGGCTTCTCTGACTACATTTCCCAGAAGGCACAGGGACCAAGAAATCGCTGAGTGTAGTTGTGGTTTGGCCCGTGTGTTCAGGTTGCTGTAATGTAGGGCTGGGGGGAGGGGGGGGTGCGCACTACAAACCTGGCAACCCCTGCAGACCCGGCCAGGCTCTCTCAGTCAGTCCTCAGACCTGTTCTCTTGGCGGGCAAAGTGATACGACAAGACAAATTCGGAATTTAGTGTTTGGGAGGGAGTTAGGATCCCACCCCCACCTAAGTACCAAGCTAGTCTGCTGACTACTCATGGAGTTAATGGACAGCCAGGGCTAGATAGCGAGAGTTATGTCTAAAAACAGACAAAAAGTCCTAGAAGACTCTGTGTAGTCTATACCACTAATCATAATTTGAGTCATTTTAACGTGTAACAGTACACAGAAAACAATGCACATGGGTTTCAGGGTTTTTGCTTGTTTTGTTCATGACAAGGCAAGGGCCTTGGTATTCAGCCCAGGATGGTTTCAACAGCTGAATAATTAAAAGTAAAAGCATTTGATTGAATACACACACTTAGCCTTTTACGTATTTATCTAAATCCAGGTAGCTGCTGAATCCTAAGATTAATTGCCATTTGGTTGGAACAGATAGGAATGGACCTTCAAAGAGATTGCCCATCCCTATCCTTTAGTTTTTTTGTTGTTTTGTTTTTTAAAGACATACATAATGCTAACTCTCTCAAGCATCTTTCTGATTTGGAAAACCATCTAGAAAACAATAAAACAGCAGTGACATGTTTAAATACCCTCTTCCCAATGGCTGAAGTGAGACATTCTCAGAAGCCATAGGCTGTTGAGTGAAAATCCTAATTCCAGGAATGTGTTGCCTCTCGGTATTAATGGCCAGAGTATTATTGGCCCCTATTATCCTATAACCTACAAACTTTATTGTCTCTATGGGTGTTTGCATCCAAAAACTACGTGGAAGTCCCTATTGCTGAAGATATTACATAGTTTAGTTGCAGGACATGAAGAAATCAGGCTTGGATCTGGCTGGAAGACTCCCTCCCCCATGCTAACTCACTTTCATAGTTCTGAAAAGCACTGTGCAGACTGCTGGGGGGAGACCTGATGCCAACAGTCTTGCTCAGCTATGGATAGAGTGTGCTAACGCCATGAGTATGCCAGGGAAGATAAGCTCATTGGTATGGGGAGGCTACTGCTATTATTTTGTTGAATAAGTATTACAAGCCTTCAAAACATTTGTGATTATGCTGCTGTTAACACTGGTTGTAGGGGGAAACCTTTAGTTTTTAAGTGTGTGTTTGTGTGTGTGCCCATGGGACAGGATGTCCATGGAAGTCAGAAGCCTTGGATCCTATGGAGCTGAAGTTACAGGAGGTTATGGATCACCCAGAATAGGTGCTGTAATAGAACCAGAGTCTTCTGCAAAAGTTAACCATGGGATTGTAATCTCTCCTAACCTGGGAAAGACCCCTCCCCGGGGAGGGGGGTAGTTATTATGGTGTCACAACTGAGCATGGTACCAAGAATAAGGACTGTTGCCACAGCATTTCTATCCAATGCTCAGCCATAAGTGGGAGAAAATAATCAGACATCTATATTATGCCAAGACACAGAGAACATTGCAGAAGAGGCAGAATGGAGGGAGGGGTAGTGATCTATGCTTTGAACTTCCTTTTAATGGAAATAAGAGAAAGGAGGCTCATACGACTCGGGAGCCTCTGGAAACCTCTCAGGCTTACGAAGCGGACGCCAGGAGTTCAGATAAGCAGTGCATAGTCGCTACAGGGAGCACAGGAAACAGGCACAGCCCAGGGCCACAAGCTGTGCTCTCCGTGGCTACACAGTGATATTTCTCCTTTATAACTGTGAGTATGTGTAAATTAAATTTCAATAGCATTTGTCTAAAGAGCCTTTACTTCTCAATTTAATACAGCAAAGGTAGTTACTTTCTGAGAAAAACAAGTGGAGACACCATGCATTCTGTAGTTAAAGTGCCCTTAGGTCTGAACCAGAGGAGGTAAATTGTGGGAAGACAGTGCAAAGGGCAGTATATACCTGCGTAGCTCGCAGTGATTTCCTTCTCAGGTCAGTGACTCAGAGAAGGGAAAATGAACCATAAGCTTGAGCGATAAACAAGAACTTATTTCAGAATATTCAAAACCAAACTTTAGTGACCATGAGGTAGCTACAAGTTACCTATGCAGATTTCTTTTCTCATTCTTCCTAATCCAGCTATTTTGCATTAACACTGAAAGGCTTTGTCCAACACAGATCCTAGGCTCATCTGAAGTCTGGTGATTCATGGCTCCACTTTGACCTACATCGGCAGGTCCCCCGTGATGTTACAAAAGCTGGTGGCTGTTGAATCTGAATCATTAGAAAGAAAATATTAATCCTTCAATCTTAGAGCCAACTCTAGTCAGTAAAACTTAAGAACATGTGGAAAACATTCAAGTTTTTCATGCACAAGTTTATCCTGCATCACAAACACCTGGTGTTTGCTGAAGTCTAACTTGATGCTCACCCCCAACTATTATCCCTCTCTCTCCAGGACGACTCCTGCTGCAGTCAGCATGGAACAGGTGTCCTTTGGCAGATTTACCAGGTGCATCTTACTTAAATGGTTCTTCTCAGGAATGAGTCTTCTGATGGTTGGCAAGAGATGAGCTCTGGCTGAAGGCTTTCCCACATGTTCTGCATTTATAAGGCTTTTCTCCGGTATGTGTTCTCATATGTGTCATAAGTGAGGAACTCTGTCTGAAGGCTTTCCCGCACACTTTACAGCTAAATGGTTTCTCTCCGGTATGAATTCTCTGGTGCTGAATAAGGGCCGAGCTTTGGTTGAAGGCCTTCCCACAGTCGGTGCACTTGTAGGGTTTCTCACCAGTATGGACTTTGCGGTGAGTATTGACCGCAGAGTGGCAGCTGAAAGCTTTCCCACATTCCTTACACTGAAAAGGCTTCTCACCCGTGTGGATTCTGTAATGGACGTTGAGTCGTGAGACCCAGGAAAAGGCCCTCCCACATTTATCGCACTTGTATGGCTTTTCTCCAGTGTGGATTCTTTGATGTTGGATAAGTGCTGAGCTTTGGCTGAAGGTCTTCCCACATTCCTTGCATGCATATGGCTTCTCTCCAGTGTGAATTCTCTGATGTATAATCAGGGCTGAGTGGTAACTGAACACTTTGCCACACATATTACAGCGAAAGGGCTTCTCTCCAGTATGAATACGGCGGTGTCTGCTGAGCCGTGATACTGATGTAAAGGCTTTCCCACACTGGTTACATTCATATGGTTTCTCCCCCGTGTGAATTCTATGATGCTGAATAAGAGACGAGCACTGACTAAAGGCTCTCCCGCACTCGTTACACTGATAAGGCTTTTCTCCAGTATGGATTCGTTGGTGATTATTAAGGGATGAGCTGACTTTGAAGGCTTTGCCACATTCCTTACATTCATAGGGTCTCTCTCCAGTATGCATCCTCTGATGCCCAATGAGCGAGGTGGTGAATCTGAAAGCCTTTCCACACTCACTACACACGTACGGTCTTTCTCCAGTATGGACCCTCAGGTGCAGTGTCAGGGACGAGCTTTGGCTGAAAGCCTTCTGGCATTCCTTATATTTGTAGAGCTTCTCTCCAGTATGGATCCGCTGGTGTTTGCTCCGGGAAGAACTGTGGAGAAAGTCTTTGCCACAGACGTTACACTTATAGCACCTGCGTGTTGTGCTGACTCCCGGCTGTTTGAACAGAACTGAGTGCTGCTGTGAGTGGGTCTTCCTTCCTCTGGAGACAACTCCAGGTTTGCTAGTAAATGGAGACTTGATCTCAGGATTTCTCAGGCGTTCCACACCTGTAAAGGCCCTCTCTTGTACACAGTCTTTTCTAATGGAAAGTAGCATTTTGCTGAAAAGTTTGGCCTTGTTGTCTTGGTGCTCCTCCAACTGCTCCTTATTTACATATGTTTTCCCCAATACGAGGTCAAAATAATCATCAACTCTGTGAATTTTCAAGATTTCTCTCTTTTCTTCTTTGGAAACTATGGATTCAAACAAGCTCTTCCATCCTAAATGAAACAAAATGCAAGTGAACTATTGCACTGGGAATAAAGGAAAATGATACCAAATTCACGAACACAGCTAACAAATCCAAACTCAGAACCTTTGGGAAGGTTAGGAACAAGGACAAAGGAAAAGAAATAGGAGTATAGACGTTCCTAAAAGGAAGGGTCTGAAGATACTGTGTGTGGGGGAGGGGGCTGAGGACATCAGATGGCAGCTCTCCCAGTAGGAGGGGGTGCCAGTCTTGATTTAGCAACAACACCTGGATCATCAGGTGTTTCTGAGAGGAGCTTGTGTTCCTATTCAGTTTCATCACCCGGATCAGGTGTCAGTATACCTAGGGAAATCCCAAAAGAAAACTGTAGAGAGGAAGAGAAGGGAGGGGAGAAGGAAGGGAGGAGAAGGAGGAGCCTCTGCTCTCAGTTTCAGTCTCAGCAGCACCACTCTGGCCCTTGGCAGAGAGATAATGTTGTAATGAGCATTCTCCCATAGACAATGCAAAGGCCAAGGCTCTGGAATTACAGGCAATAGCAAGGCTTCCACTGATAGCCAAGCAACCAAACTGCCAAAGAAGTAACCAGGACCTTAGGAAAACTAAGAACAAACAAAACCAAAGGCACTGTGCGGTGGTGGTAACTACCCTGACACTTTAAGCTGGGTGATAAGAAGATGAAGTTGAAGATAAAATCTAGGGCCCAAGATGGTGGGGTGGGTAAAGATGCGCGCTTGCTGAGCCTAACAACTTGAGCTCAATCCCTGGGACTCAAACAGTAGAAGGAAAGCACTGATTCCTGAAAGCCGTTCTCGGAGCTCCACACTCAAGCTATGGCTTATCCCCCAAGACTCCTTCTGCACAATACAAAATAAATCAATATAAATAAAACATAAAAACTAAATAAGAGCCAAGGTACTTAGGAAACACTACACGAAATGAAATCATTGATTTGAAAGAAATGAATTTATTTTACAAAGGCGCTTTCACACTCTTGATTATAAAAGAGGTCACCTGTTTCCAGAAAATAGGAGAAACAGAATCAGACTGGGACTTGTTCTCAACACTTGTTGTGTAAAGACATGTGTGGACACTGCTGACAGGGAGCAAGGAATCTAAGGCCAGAATTCTACCCCAAAGCCTATTTCTAAATGAGAGAAGAAAGAACTTAGACACATATGTACATTGTACACATAAACTCCGAAAAAAATATTCATGGAAAATATCCTCATCAAAATAAAGGAAAATCTAAGACAGTTCATGAATGGCAATCCAAGATGAAACTGACTCAGAATGCCCAGCTACTGCCAGAGAGGAGTGATTCTGGGTAAGCAGCAGGACCCAAGAGAATCATCCTCTGTACCAGAAACAAAGACAAAATCCAAAGCAGAAGAGAGAGGAGACACATGTGGCAATCCGAACCAACAAACCCAGCAGACATGCAGAACCAGCACCTGCTGTCGATGGCTTACGAACTGCCTGATGACTGTCTGCAAACCTGTTTAAGTCCTGTCACCAAATTGGCACACCTAGCTTCTCTCGTGCATTTGCACATGTACATATTCTTCTGTTGTTTTTTCTTAACAATGGATATTGAGCTACAAAGTCAAAGCAAAAGCCCAAGACAGTGTGGCGATATGTTATTATGAAAATTCAAACAGTCTGGAACTTTTGTTGGACCTCACAGCCAAAGTTAATAATACACCTTGAGATCACTTAAGATTCAAGACTGATACCCTACTATGTACTCAGTCTGTTTGTTTAACCTGCCTTTATGAGAGCAATGTAATGACCATCCTTACTTGCCTTGGATTTTCCATGTAACCAACTTTTACAACCTAAGCTAATGGATAACTGTAATCTAATTCCATGCCCTTGACCCAGAGAATAATGCATGTGTGTATGCATGCACGATGTGGCAGTCACTTGTGGAAAGCAAAAACTATGTTGAAAAGCAACATTATAAGATGAATATCACCATAAATGTTGAAAGCAGCACTCAGATATTGCCTGATAGCATCTGCTTGTTATCTGGGTCAGTTGAGTCAGTAAAGTTTCATCCCTTGTAAAACTCTGCTAAAGATCTCTGTAAAATATCCCTCATTCTTTCCCCACAGTCCTGTGACATTCAATAAATACAGAGCAGAAGACCTTTAGTACGAACACACGTGGGCACAGGGACAGCATTCCTAAGACAGCATTCGGGTAGGCACAGATTTAGACTCATAATAGACAAATTACAGACAGGAGAGATGGAACACATGGGAAGAAAGAAGTAGAGAATTTAAAACTGGGCTTGTCCTTGGTAAAGCCATTCTAAGGGGAAGGGCTCTGATTTATTTTCCTTAATGTGACACCAACACGTTTTGGATGCACTGAGGCTATTACTGATGCATTTAAGTGAGAGGTGGAACAGGGGATGCACTACAGTCATGAAGGCTATATTCAAACCACGGAAGTGAAAGAGGCTGTTAGTGCAGTAAGCGTGAAGGGAAGGGTGGAAGAATCGAGACCGGCAGACATTTACTGCACATCACACTGTAGCACGTGCTCTCCAATGACGAGCAGCACTTGACGAAGTGTGATCTATGCTTAGAGAATTGGCCTTTCCCTCTGAACCCGATGGACGAGGTGACCAGAAACAAAGAGGGGAGACATGCCCTTCCCAGCAATCTCCATATGCTGGCACATCAAAGGAGATCTCTGGCCAGTGTCTTCTGAGCATAATCCCCTTGTCCCTGGAAGGGAGGAAATGCCAAGTTCAAGTCCTGATCCGTCGGCCACTTACCTAGGTAGACACCTTGAAGCATTCCACTTTCCACCACCTGGAAGTCTTCTGCTTGCTCTAACTGGGAGATGATCTTTGGCTTGGAAAACAGCATCCCTGTTCATGAACAAGAAGACATGAGTAGCGTACTGGCATGGAGGTCCAGGTCCAGGGGACCCCAAGGTATGGGGGTACGGTGCACAGGAGGAGAAACAACAACCTAAAACTGGGCTCCTAGAGGATGTCCAGAGCTAGCCTCAGGATATGAGTCAGGGCTCTTCCCCTTGGTAGGACGGCTTAGGGGACCCAGCAACAGAGCTGGGTTTGGAGAGCCGGGAAAAACACAAGAGAAGATATTCTTTATTAACTCAGCTATATTCAGACTTGTCAATCGGCAAGGGAAAAAGCAGCCATGACTGGGCCCATCCACAGGCCAAACCTAACCAAACCCTTCCCACATCCTCCCAGGTAGAGGATAGGGATCTTGTTTCCACTGCAGATGATGCACCCCAACAAACCCCTTACCCAGGGAGGCCAGGTTGCCATAGTTCTCCAGCATCACCTCCCGGTACAGGCTTCTCTGTGCAGAGTCCAGACGCAACCACTCATCCTGGCTGAAGAACACGGCCACATCCCTGAACGTCACAGGCTCCTGGAACAGCAAACCCATCCCTGCTCAGCCCAGACCACGCCCACACAGTGTGAGTGAGAAGCAACTCTGCGAGGGTTTTTGAGCGTTTCAAGCCAAGCAAGCATCTCTGAACAACAGCTTCATTAGCCAGCATGGGATTTATGACATTCCTACAGCGAGTGACTCACTGTGCCCTAAGAGAGCTCAAATACAGCACCCTACAAGAGAATTCCTGACATCACAAAACAAAATCAGGAAGACAGGACCGAACTTGAGACTAAGACAGGTATGAGTCATCGAAAGGGAGATGGTGCGGTGGCTTCCATGTTTCTGATACTCTACAAATCGTGGGCGGGGCATCTGCGCACAACACGCGAGGCACTGCTGCGGTGGAACCGCTAGGAGCTCACTTCTTTACCAAGCCAAAGGCACATCTCCACGACCCCAAGCTGCTCACAAAGCTTAGCATCTTTCCTGCTCTGAAAGGGCAAAAGTGAAATATGAGTGCTTTGACTCCCTGGAAATGAAGGAAGGGACAGTGCCACCACTTCTGTTTCTTTGCAGCACTGAGAATCGAATCCAGAGCCTTGAGGACGCCAGGCAAGTACTCCACCTACAAGCAACATCCCCAGCCCCTACTCCTTTTCAAAACCTCTGTCCTTTTTAGATATATGTGACTCTGTGAGTGTGTGTGTGTGTGTGTGTGTGTGTGTGTGTGAACCAGAAGCCAACCTCAGGTGTCAAACTCCTCAGTATGCTCTCCATCTTGGTTGTGAGACAGGGTCTCTCAGTGGCCTAGACCTTGCTGACTCTCTAGGCCAGTTGGCCCATGAGCCCCAGGGATCCACCTGCCTCTCCAGGGCTGGGATGACAAGCAGTATGCCATTGCTTCTGGCCTTTTTGCTTGTGGTCGATGCATTGCATTGAACTTAGGTCCTCAGACTCGTGTAGCAAGTAGATTACTAATGGAGCCTCCTTCCCAGACAGTTTGTGAATCTTCTTAATGGCTAAGTCATCTGTCAATCTCAACTCAGAAAAGCTTCCCCCGAAACTGGTACACACGCCTTTCTTTGAGTAGAATCATGGCAGATGCTAACATGAATCATGGCAGACGCTAACATGCCTTTAGACTAGGAAAGCAAAACATTTCTAGGCTTCTTAAAAAATAGAACAAGTTCAGCCAATCAAGCACTGAAGGAGCATGGCTTGCACCCATTATCAGGGTCTCTAAGTCTAAATAAACAAAGCTTGAACCTACCGGTTTCTGTGCTCTGCTTCTGCATTTATGCCCGTCACCTTGTCCTTCTGTTCCTTTGGATATAGCCCAGAATCACTTCTAGGCATCAGGCAGACGTTAAATATGAGTATGAAGGTGGGGGCTGGGGTGGGAACAACAGCTCTATTGCTTAATCTTAGCTTTATGGCCAAAGGATATCGGAGCCATGAGCATTGAGGAGGCAAGTGAGAGTTAGACTAGTCTGATCTGACGATCAGGTCAGAAGACCTCAAGCAGATTAACATACACTGAGGAGGCATGGGTGGTAAGCTTTCCATTAGTCAGAAGTGTTCACTGGAAAAAGATATTAAGAACTGTAGCTGACACCCTATGGGCTGATTCCATCTCTTGGACAGCTACTCTGCTTGAGCGAGTAAGTTCCTGCTCTAAGCTCTAAGAACACCTTACTCTCTGAGGCTCTGTATGTCTTGCTGAAATCTTCTTCAAGAGAATGCAAGAACCCGGGGACTATCTAAGAGCCTGACAGTCTGATGTCTGCTCAGTAGGTGGGGTGAGGGATGCCAGTTAACTCCTGGTCAGTGGCCATGGAACTGATTAATGGAGACAGGAAGAATCGCCCTTCAGGAGTTATGGCCTCACCTTTCAGCAGTTTCTGTTCCTCCTTGAGCCCAGAGAAGCTCAAGAAAGGATGAAATGAACTCACCTCTTCCGCAGACAAAAGGCAGCTCAAAAAGAAGTGGCTTTTACTCACCTGAACCGGGGCTGGCAGCAACCTCTTGACCATTCTCCCTCTGTGGCTCCTCCTGAGAAGACACCTGAGGCAGAGAAAAAGACTGTGAGGTCCACGCATTCTGACTGCTCTCAGTCCTCACTGGATCAAACCAGGTTAGAAACCACCCGCTGGGCATCTGCACAGCCCAGCTTCCCCAAGCAAGATGGAACCTGGGCATGACCACCAAAACCAGAAGCAAGCAAAAAGCACACCTCATATGGTTGCCAAAGACGGAAGTAAGCAACAAGCACCCCTTGATATTGGGCCTGCGATCTTTTCACTAGAGAATATGAATAAAGACAACCGAATCGAGCAATTACAGCTATCGATTCCATGAGCAAGGTAAGAGGGACCATGGCACGCAACTCCTGGAGGCAAGAGAAGGTATAAATATTGGACACACCTGAACTTGGCCACTCTACATGAAAGAAGGGACTGCAGAATGTTTACCCTTTTCGGAAGCCACCAACTAGAAACCAGTCCTCTCATCCACGTGGATGTTTGCCTCGGTCAAAAGAATTATCGAAGTCTCTTATATTAACCAGACCCTCACCACACATGCACGCACGCACGCATGCGCACACACACTCAAGGAACAGCATCGCTAGCTAGTACTGAATTTAAATTTTGGAGAAAAGGGGGCTTGGCTGGAGGTGCAGCTCATGTAAGAGCGCATGATATTTAAGTCCTGGGTTCCATGTTCAGCATCCTTCCACTTCTTTCTAACAGTAAAACCTTACAGCAAAGGGACAGAACTTTACCAAAAAAGAATACGAACTGTGGGGCTCACTTTTAAGACACTATCCAACACCGAAGATCAACAGGAACGAATAAACAAAGTTTGGGCTCCGGGACGAGAAACCTGCAGGCTCTGTGCTCAACCGCCCTGGCTCGCAAGCCTGAAGCCAGCGGCTTCCTAGACCGCTATTCCGGCCGCGGGTCCGGAACGACCTGGAGTCAGGGCCAAGGCCTGCACCTGCCGCCGAGGCCTCTGCGCGTTCCAACCCGCTCGCAGCCCTGTTGCAGTTTATAATAAAGTAGTCCCACACTAGCCCAGAATGGAGTATAATAAAGGTTTCTTTATTAGGGGCAGACTCACAGATCAGCAGTCCTCAGCGTGGGGAAACACTGGAACCAACTCCAGCAGCCAAGGGCCCGCACACGCTTTTACATATTGTGTATATAGTACATGTGACCACGCCCAAAGTGGGCCAGTATCTTAAAGGTTATTGGCTGAAGAAGTTCCCACAGCACAGCCCCACCCCGTGGGCTCCTAGCTGCGACCGCTTTGCTTACAAACCAAAGAATTCCAACACCCAACGAAGGAACCATACCGGGCTCAACTGCGCGTGCGCGCAGCCCCTGGTTTCCATTACGGACTACATTTCCCAGAAGGCACCGCGACACTCTGTACTATGCCACGGTGGGAGACTGGCGCCTAAAGGCTAAAAGTCATCACCTCCCAGGCTTTTATGCACGTTTCATTCATAATTACAATGGTAACACTACCAAAAAGGGCAAAATGAGTGAATTTTAAAAATGTAGAATAAGGCGCTGGCTGCTTAGTTTCAGATGGCGAGAGAACTGTCCTCTTTCATATTTTAATAGAAAATTATGCTTTTTGTATCCTACAAAAGAAACAATATGTAACATTTTTCATTGCTGGCTCATACTTCAAGCAAATATAAAGCAAATAAACTGTAGTTTATTATTTTACTTAGTTTAGTCATATTAGCTATTGATAATCTGGCAGTCCAGACTTTCAGGGAAGCAAAAAGGTAGCGTTAAAATTAATTCATTATTTGAGTTGGACATTTTTAGCTCTTTTTACAAAATTTTGACCTTGTCTTTGTCCACTGTAAAGATTCTGAAGAATAGCAATTCAACCACACAATTAGATACAAATTATGGTCTCTAGGTAGCAATTAACACAAAGAGTTCCTTAAAGAAGTCCACAGCAAGGGATACCTAAGATAAGAACAGTGTCTGGAAGGAAGAAAGCCAGAAAGCCAACAAAAGGAATCAGCTTGAAGGACTTCTGCTGAACCAAAGTGGAAGAATTTCATCTTCAGAAGCCCGCAAAGATTCAAAGTCACCAAATGCTGTAAGATTTTGTCTACTTCTGTTCCTGTCAAAGTATGCCAGAAGGAATGGCGCTACCCCAATCCAAACAAACACCAACCCACCAACAGACAAAGCATCCAACATACATACTCAAACATACCACTTTAGCATATGGATTATTTTAACTCCACACTGGGTGCAGGACTTTCTGTAGGTTTTTAGCAGATCATTTTGTCAAGCAGAAGATGCCCAGATGGTTAAACTTTTAAATGATGAATGAACACTACTAGATAGTACCAAATGCTTTTTCTGCATCCATTTAGATAATCATGTTTTTGCCTTTAATCTGTTAATGTAGTGAATTACAGAAATACATTTCCTAAATCATTAATCCGCTGAAGTACATCTCTGGGACGAACAAGACTGGCTGCGACAGGTTTGTCTCTGTCAGTTTGTAAATGTTGGACTGGGTCTTTCTGTCTCTCTGCTTCTTGGTTTGGCCTGAACATTTATTTCATTTTTTATTCGACCTATGTATTAATTTCAGGACACGTGTTGTCATCGTCTGCAAATGTGTGATATTTAGTGAGCAGAGAAATTCCTTTGCAACACTGCTGAGTGCTATGGGTTAGTCTGGTGTCCTGTAGAAGGCTGTGATAGAGCACAAACAAAATATCACCACAGAAGGCTTCACATGGATATTTTCTATTCTGAGTGAAAGACCGTCCATGTGGTGAGCTGACATAGACAGACAGCAGACAACCTGAGAAAGGAGAGCTGTGTTTGGTATCCCTTTGTCTTTTCTCCCCCATTGACTCACTGTGCTACCTGGTCTCTGAAAAATGCTGTGATCCTTTCATTTTTTCCCTGCAGTGCTGAGATGGAACCCAAGGCCTTGTGCATGTTAGGCAGGCATCTTCCCCTGAGCTAGAGCCCCAGCCTGCTACGTTTTTCTTTGAAATCAGGATCTTGTTTTGTATTAATGTCCTGCTTCTGGATCTGCTTATGGCTTAGTGGTTTGTTTTAGTTTTATCTGCCTTATATTTGAAGTTGTTTTTCTTCTGGAGTTTCACAGATGACTTTTCAACAAGAACATCTATTCTTATTTCTTGATATTGTTGTTGTTATTTTAATATTTGTTTTCGCCTGGTCTCCAGTTGCTGTTCTTTCTACCTGCCAGACATGAACATTGTTTTACCATACTCTTCATTCAGGTTTCTGCCTAAACATTATCCACCGTGGAAGCTTCCTGTGTATGCAGCTGGGTATTTACATGCAAATGGTTTAACGTTCATATTATACTCAAAAATTCCCTCAACGTGGATCAAAAATCTAAATGTTAGAGCTATAACCATAAAAAAACTAAAAATAAAACATAGGTGATATCTTAATTAAGGTTTCTGTTGCTGTGATTAAACCCCAATCAAAAGCAACTTGGGGAGGAGACTGGTGATTTCAGCTTCAAACTCTCAAGTTCCAGTGAAAGAAGTCAGAACAGGAACTTGAGGCAGAAAATGATGCAGAGACTATGGGAAAACAGAATTATTGACTTAATCCTTGTGGGTAGCTCAGCCTGATTTCTTGTAGACCCCAGGACCACTTGCCCAGGCTTGGTACCTTCCGTAGTGGATTGGGTCCTCCCACATCAACCATTAATCAAGAAAATGTCCCACAGGCCGATCTTGTGGGGACATTTTCTCTGCTGAGTTTCCCTCTTCCCAGAACTTGTGGAACTTGTGTCTAATTGACAAAAAAAGAAAGAAAGAAAGAAAGAAAGAAAGAAAGAAAGAAAGAAAGAAAGAAAGGAGGAAGGGAGGAAGGAAGGAAGGAAGGAAAGAAAGAAAGAAAGAAAGAAAGAAAGAAAGAAAGAAAGACAGAACAGGTAAAATCTTCATGACCTTGAAATTTCTTGTGAGATCTTAGATGTGATACCCAAATACAAACAATAAAAGAAAAATGTAAGTAGAATTTCAACAAAATTAAAATTTTGTGCATTTTGAAGAGAGTAAACAGCAGACCTACAAACCGAAACAAAATCCTTTGCAAGTGCTGTGTCTAGCAAGTCCAAGACTGAGAACTCAACCAGGAGGCAGAGAGTCACACTTAAAAAGACTTGACAGATCTGAGTCATCATCTCTTTAGAGAAGATATACAAATAGGCAAGCACACACGAAAGATGCTCGTCACCATTGGTCACTGAGAGAAAGCAAATGGAAACGGCGAACTTTAACTTCATGTACACAGGACAGTGACCGTGGGGAAACAGAAGATGGCAAGTGCCGGGACCTGATGTCCATGGCTGCAGTGACCATAGACACAGTTTCTGAGACGAGTGGAGCTTGTGCAGGCTGGCCAACGTTCTCTCTGCTGGTTCCGCCCACGTTCAAGGCAGTGTCTTAGGGTTTAGTTGTGGTCACCCATGGCCGTCCCTCTGGAGTGCTCTCACAGGCGCACCAGCTGTGTGCATCACCAGTGTCTCTCTGTCAGCTCAAGTTGACCATAGAGACTCCGTACCTGCAGCCCCCATCTCATAGAGTTGTTAGCCTATGAGAGGAGAAAGTGAGAGATGGCTGCTGCACCTGTGCAGAACAATGGCGATCTTCTACAAGAAGGCAATCCTCTGCAAGCCTGGGACAGCTCTCAGAAGACCTGGCTCATGTGCTATCCTAGTTTCAGACTTCTATCCTCCAGGACTGTGAGAAAACAAATTTCTGTTGTTTGGTCACCTGTCCGTGCCGTTTTGTAAAGTAGACCAGTCGTCTAAGGCACAAGTCACCCATTCAGAATATCAAGATGTCTTTGGGCAGACCTTCAACACTTCACCCATGGTTTGTAAAACTCTTTTCTTCACTGAGTCTAAGCAGTTTGCTTGAACCTGTCAGGGGGGCCTATGGCCCATGACTGGGTTGTCCCCACCAGGCATTGCCCCTTGCTGGAGTCCAATTGGGAAGTCACTAATCTGCCAGGTATAATTAGAAGATGAAGCTGGGGGCTGGACCTGTTCTTTCATCCAGAGTCTCTTTTTAAATGTAGCTCCAGCCTGTAATTTTCTCATCAACACATTAGACTTTTGTTAATAGGACATTTTCTCCCTTGAGAAAATGAATTGATGGCAATCAGAGCATATACAGACTTGGTAAGATAAGAGGAATAGTCATCACACACACACGCACACACACACACACTTACACCCTTGGTCAATTGCACAGAATAGTGAAAGTCGCTGTATACTGAGTGCCGAAAATTCAAAGTTTGCTAAGACAGTGGATTTAAAATGTTTTGATCACCCAAAAAAATTAAATGTTTGAGGTAACAAAGTGATAGTGTGGCAGTCATTCCACAATGATTCAGTCTTTTAAAATTATTAAATATTAGTAAATGGGACCCCAGTGACATTTTCGTATGTGTGCAGCGTATATTAATCTGCCTTGCCCATTCATCTCGAATCCTACCAGCCCCTGGTTGTGCCTTTTCCACTTCCAGACTGACTGTTTTCCATATGCAAGAGAACTGTGCAATGTGTGCCTCCACCTGGCTGATTTTGCTACATATGATGTCTTCTGGTTCCAGACATTTTGCTGCAAATGCATTTCATTCTTCCTTTGTGGCTGGCTAGTACTTTGCTGTGTGCACACTACATTTAAAAACTCCATTTATATGGTGCTTCACTCTTGGTGAGATGTTATCCCTGGTTGCTACCAGGCTACCCTGCGGCAGCAGCCCTGAGTGCTGCTCACACCTGACAAGTCCAGTCTTTGCACATCGCGCCCATGTGGCAATTATACTGAAGAGCTTTTTCCATGGTGCAAAGCTGGAGTTAAAGAAGCTTGCAGAGGGGCGGTGACAACGAATGTTGATGAGGGATTGTTCTAAATCACCCACCCTGCTGCCACAGAGAAGTCTAAAGCTGCCTTGGGATTGATAAGAGAGCCTAGCAGAAGGACAGGCAGACAAAGCAGCAGTGGGATGAGGGATGTGGTGGTGGTTAGTCCTCCCTGCCTTCTTAAAAGACTTAGAATCACCTGGGAGACACATCTCTGAGTGTAACTGTAAGGGGCTCTCCAGTTAAGCTCAGGATGGAAGACTGGCCCTGAATGTGCATGGCACTATGACTAAATATAAGTGGAAAGGAAGTAAGCTATCTGCGAGCACCAGAATTCATCTCTTTTCTTCCGGACTGTGGCTACAACGTGACCAGCCATCTCATACTCCTTCCAGCACACCTTCCTGCCACGATGGACTGTGTTCCCCCAAACTGTGAGCCAGACTAACCCTTTTCTTGCATCACTTGTTTTTGTCAGATATTTTATCGTAGCAATGAGAAACATAACCAATATGGGACTGTTTGGTGACACATGCTCCACCCTGGTCCAAGGAGTAACTAGACATCCTCAGGTGCAGATGCCATGCTTTTCAGCATCCTTGTGCTGGAAGACAGCGATGGATGCACCAACTCTCCTGCCTACATGTTCCCTAAAAGTGAGAAGGTGGACAATTAACAGCACTCCTAGTTCGAAAATCAGAAGCTCTCCACCTCCATTCATTGAACCCTCAAATGTATTGTTTTTTCTGTAAGAAAAACCACCTGGTTGTTAAATGTGTGGAGTGGTTGATGCCCATGCGTGGACACACATGCACACACACACACACACACACACACACACGTATGCACGAACACACACACATGCACACACACAAATGCTCTGCTTGGACAGTCTTTTGCAGTGTCACCCCCTCTAGCTAGCCCCACTAAGCTGGCTTTCACCACAGGAGAGAGTGAACCACTGTGGGGGTAAGAGAATTCAGAGAATGGTAGCATCTTTCTGCTGCTTGCTCTCCCCACCAGCCTTGCCAGACCTCTCTGCCTCCCTAATCCACTCTGACTAATGGAGTGCAAGCTGGTTCAGGCTCTTCTTCGGTGAGCCCATTAATCTCCCGAAGCTGAGGCTCAGCATCTGTCTCCAAGATGCCTTTGCTGTCCAGCTTCAGAAAGCTCAATCCTGTCCTCTGTTGGCAATGATGGGAAAGTATCTTTGAACCAAAGCCCCTCACCATGGTCCAACAGTTGAATAAAAACAGCTTCACAGTGTGAGTCAGCTCCAGAGAGTGGGGTAGCTTTTAAGAATATCCTGGAGGACAGCTCAGGGCTCCTGACCCAGTTGGGGGCCCGCAAGGTCAATCAGTCCTACCTCCAAGACTAGTGGATGGGCTGATGGCTTCACACTACTATGAATGTCTATTTAGTTACTGATGAAACCAGCTGCAGGGCCTTGGGCTATCAATCACTCCCTGAGGGATCTATTTCCCAGTCTGCAGGGTGGGAGAGTCTCTCTGTAGAGCATCTGGATGTTTGGTGATGTGGAAGCTCAGCATTGTTCTCCTCTCCCCACTTTATCAAGCCTCACCGTGCACCTGTCCTTCAGATTCACAGGGCTGGCACTCTCTGACTCACTCACCCTCTGCTCCTGTCATCTGCCACTTATAGGTTTGTGGCAAGTATTGCCAGGAGAAAGCTGGGAGGTTCTTAGACAACTGCATTCCAAAGGACCACTGGGTGCTGGTGAGTTGGCTCAGCTGGTGAAAGTGCTTGCTGCCTGACCTCACAACCTGCACACAGTCCCCAGAACCCACATGGTGGAAAGAGAGAACCAACCTCTGTACACATGTGCATGCATGTGTGCGTGTGTGCACTTGTGCCGCGCACACATACATATACCTATATAAAAATATTAGTTTCAAAGGAAAAAGATTCTAGTGGTCAAAACAGAAGGAGAATCCGAGGATTTCGGGGCGGTAGGGAGGGAGTATACTAAGTGATGGGTGGAGAACAACAGCTAGTTAGGTAGGAAAATCAAGATCACAGGAAGACAGAGGAAAGGGCAGTGTCAGAGTGTCAGCAACACTCTTGTCAGGGGAGGGTGTTCTGGAGACACCTGTGTTTGCTTCCTTCTGCTATCAGACCCTGAAGAATTAAAACTCCCCAGGAGTCTTAAGCTGGGAAAGCCAAAGACTGAAGCCTGGAGCAGCTTGGAGGGAGCTTGCCTCCCAGGAAGAGATGTCCCCGTTTCATAGCTTGTCAGACCACCTTGCAAGAGAGACTGGATCCCAGCCACAGGAACCACTTAGCTGTGCATCTCTCTCTTTTTAAACCCAAGGCTCTGAAAATCAACTTGGGCGGGGGTGGGTGGGGTGGGGCACAGGACCTCTATGCTCCTCTTCTCGGTGAGGCCAGACACGTTATGTAAATCTCTTTTCTCCGAATTTTACTATTAGCTGTCTTTCTAATTGGCACATTGAGGATGAGTGGTCAAGCTTATGGGTGTTGCCAGGATCCAGGCTTGGACCCTGAAGCTCAGATAACCAATCTGGGTCAGACACAATCTAGAGACAGTCTAGGGGAGAAACAGACCCAGGGAACCAGAGAGGGAGAGAGGAAAGAGAGCCCTTCCTCCACTCGAAAGCTCTGGAGGGGATCTCTGCTCACCCCCTTATCCCTCCCCAGAATCCTTAAATCCTCTAGGCTGAAGCCCTGGTTTTACAGCAGTTGGAGACCGGTCCTACTGGTCAAATGTTGCCTCAGGTGAGTACCACTGGGGAGGGATCCTAGAGTGAGCTGGGGAGGGTCTAGAGGAAGAGGTGCCCGGAACTATGGGGAGAGAGGACTGGGCGGGCGCGGCCACGAAGACCGTCGGGGTTGGGGGTACTTGGGTGACAATTTCAGGGAGGCTGACAACAGCCCTGTGGAGGCCTTGGAGAGTCGGCGGAATTGCCTGAGCACGAGTCACCGAGTCACCAACTTTTCCTGCCTTCCTGCGTCTGGCCAGATTCCCAGCTGAGTCGGCCAGCGCTCGGGACGTCCTGATATCTCCGGTTCCCACATCCTGTGAGCAGATGGTGCGACTCCGGGTGCTGCTGCTGTTGCTGGCCTGGTGGCTGTCGCAGGCGAGAGTGGCGCGCGGTGAGGGCTCAGTGCGCCTGGCGGGAAGCCTGACGCTGGGCGGTCTGTTCCCCGTGCACGCGCGGGGAGCTGCAGGGCGAGCGTGCGGGGCCCTGAAGAAGGAGCAGGGCGTGCACCGGCTGGAGGCGATGCTCTACGCGCTGGACCGCGTCAATGCCGACCCAGAACTGCTGCCCGGCGTGCGGCTGGGCGCGCGGCTGCTCGACACCTGCTCCCGGGACACCTATGCGCTGGAGCAGGCTCTGAGCTTCGTGCAGGCGCTCATCCGAGGCCGCGGTGATGGCAACGAGGCCAGCGTGCTCTGCCCCGGGGGCGTCCCCCCGCTGCGCGCCGCACCCCCAGAGCGCGTGGTGGCGGTAGTGGGTGCCTCGGCTAGCTCCGTGTCCATCATGGTTGCCAACGTCCTGCGCCTGTTTGCGGTGAGGGCCCGCGTCTGCCACCCGTGCTCCCTCCCAGATGTCTGATGCCTTAACTTCCTTCTGGAAGGATCTGTTTTGAGCGCTCCAGCTCATCCAGATTAAAAAGCTGCTGCCCACTGGAGCAGATCAGCTTTCCCAGCTTGGCCTACCTGTCTGCTTTGCCGCCTGGCTGTCCTAAAGTGGTATCTTTCAGTGAAGGGTATCCTTTTCCCCAGCAGTCTGTGGCCTTTTAGGCCCATATTTCTACCTGGTGTTGCGACCAGAATCCCAGGCCATAGCTTGCACCTGCCACACAGGAGGTGGTCACCTCCCTAACAAAGGGTCGGGATATGCTAATGTTGTTCTGCTCCTTCTTTGTAATTTGGAGGATGCCTGGGGTAGAGATGCTAATTCAGGCCTATGTGATAGAGCAGACATACAGAGCTGGAAGATAGGAAGACGTGACAAAATGGGCATGGAAAGGTGTGGTCAAAGGTGTGGACATGAACGAGACCAGAGACAATCACCTGGTGACCTAGGAACAGAATGCTAATGAATTTCCCCTTCAGTTTATGTTTTGGTATGTAAGGCTGTTTGGAGAATAAACGCAGAGGAGTTTTCAGGATGTGAACTCAGGGTTTCATGAGGGATCACTGAGACTCTCCCTCCCGATAAAGCCATGTGAGTTGTCTCAGTTATTCCCACGCCTCCCCTCTGGTCCTGGAGAAATAATTTAGGGTCTGAGCTGGCACCTGACCATGACAGGCCTGAAGCAGACTAAGGGCAGATAGGACCTCAGTTTCCAGTTACCCTCTCCTTTGGGTTCTGCTGACACCCTGTACAGCCCTTCACGGCGCTCCTGTCCCAGACTCTCCTGAGATTTCATGGGAATTAGGCCCTTCTTCAAACACCCTTGGAAGTTGCCCTGAGCTACACTAGTGGGTAGAGAACTCTGAGGGGTAAAGTGCCCACTGCTCCTTTTTTCCCTTTTTCTTTCTTTTAACCTTTTGATCATCATTTAAATTCCTTTTCAAAATGCCTGCCTTTTATCCCTTCTGGTGCAGGGGGTTCTTAAAGACTACCTGAGCTCCCTTGTCTTGCTATAGTGTTCATCAGCAAGACTCTGCGTCTTCATCGCTGGGGGGCACTGTGTTCTTTGCAGGAAAAGGTGCAGCGATTGGGGGGGGCATAGCACCCTGGAACTGGGTGGGGGGCTCTGGCATTAGAATTTGGGGGTTCTCTACAGCAGTCATCCTGGGGATCGTGGGTGGGGTTTACAGCATTGAAGAGGGCGTCAGTTCTATCACAACCAGTTGGCCTTTCTTTGTGCTCTTTCCTCTGGTTTTTATTTTCTTGTTTATCTTCTGTCTCCCTTGTCTGCTCTCCTCGTCTAAGAGATACTTCTTAGCCTCGCCCCTCTTTCTTCTCTTCCTCCCACCTTCCTTCTCTGCTTCTCTCTTTCCCACTCACCTTTCCTGCACTGCCACCTCACCCTCCTTCAAAGGGCCCTAGAGCAGCATCAGCCCCTCCTTCCGAGACTTCCTGCCAGACCTTGTGCAGATTGCTAGTCCCTCTTTATCTCATTCAGGGTCACATTTGCTTCCCCTCCCCAGGCTTTCAGCCTCCTTTCCCTGTCTTCTCAGTTCTGTGCTCCATCCTTTTCCGGCCCAGCTCCCACTTTCCTGACACATGGTTCAGCCCATAATCCCTGCTACTAATCTCTCTAATGGTCATAGATGAAACCTAGTTTCCCACAAACCTTTCCCCTAGACTGTCTGGTCTGGCACCACCCTCCTCTCCAGCTCCGCTTTGCTCTTATCCTAGCAGGGGGCTGCTACTGAAAAAGACTACCCCCCCACTCTGGGAAAAAGGGTCAACAGAGCACCCTTTCCCCCAGACCAGGGCACTCTTTCCCTAAGCTCACTGGTGACACTTCTCTAAGCCCTTCTAACCTTCCTAACCTTCCAGCCATCACATCCATTTGTAGACTGCCCACTAGTCCCATACTTCTAGCCTATGTGTGTGGCCCCTCCAGTTGGCCTCATCTGAGTCTCAGTTTCCTATTGTCTCCCAGAGTTATTCCCAACTTGTCTATGGCCCATGTCCTGTGTTCCCATTGCTACCCTGGTCTATAGAGCCTCCAACCACAGCCTAGTTGTCTGTCCTTCCTGCTTCAGATACCCCAGATCAGCTATGCCTCCACAGCCCCAGAGCTCAGTGACTCCACACGCTATGACTTCTTCTCCCGAGTGGTGCCCCCTGACTCCTACCAGGCTCAGGCCATGGTGGACATTGTGCGGGCGCTGGGATGGAACTACGTATCTACACTGGCCTCTGAAGGCAACTATGGCGAGAGTGGGGTTGAGGCCTTTGTGCAGATTTCCCGAGAGGCCGGTGAGTAGGGAGTTGGGATGGAGGTCCCAGGGAACAGTCAGCTAAGGAAGGGGAGAGCCAGAAACCGCTGGATGGGACACAGACTGGGGTGGGGTGGCAGCGGGATGGTCCCATGGCAGCCCAGAGAATGGTGCCCCAGGCAGGCGGAGCCCCTGTAAGGTTGTGGTTCTAAACCTTTCTGATGTTGTGAACCTTTAATACAGTTGCGGTGACCCCAACTATAATAATATTTTCGTTTCTACTTCAAAACTGTAATTTTGCTATTAAGAATTATAATGTAAATATCTGTGTTTTCTGGTGGCCTTAGGCAACCCCTGTGAAAGGGTTGTTCAGCCCCTCCAGAGGGGTCCTGACCCGCAGGTTGAGAACCACAGCCGTAAGGGATTCAGGTCACGCTGATGGCCTGCTAGGTAGGGTCCAGGCAAGCTCTCTAGTGTCCAGACTCCTCAGTTAAGCCCTATCAGTCACAGAAGTGGCAGCCAGGTGGGTATGTGCAAGGGTAGGTGAGACAAAGGTTGACTTTGGCATTCCGACATCCAGGAGGTGTCTGCATTGCACAATCCATAAAGATTCCCAGGGAGCCAAAGCCGGGAGAATTCCACAAAGTGATCCGGAGACTCATGGAAACACCCAACGCTCGGGGCATCATCATTTTTGCCAACGAGGATGACATCAGGTGGGACTGGTGGCACACTCAGTCACCATGCTCTCTTGAGGCTTTTTTTGTGAGACCTTATCCTTCTGCCTTCTGCACTCCCAGCCATGAGCAACTCCCCTCCTTTGCCCAAGCGCTTCCTGTTGCTGTCTTGTGTTCAGGGTATGAATCCAGCCTGACTGGCTGGAGATGTCACAGGCCTAGCCTGGGAAACACAGGAAAACATGGCTATTTCTACCGTTCACTGTGGGAGAGGGAATTGGTGGGTACCACGAGGGTACACTCCCAGTAAACCCTGACACTTACATTGTCCAAAGCCAGCTAAGGGGCTTTCCCAGACCAGGAAGTTGGGCGTGAAACTGGTAGAGGCGTTCGTGGGTGAAATGGCTGCTCGGTTTCCCCAAATGAGCTCTCTGCATCAATTCATTGTTCCTTATTCTAACAAAATCTTCAAGTCTGGGTAATTTATTAGGGAAAGACATGTTTTCAACATATAAGCAGCATGAAAGCAGCTCCCCTGAGGGTCCAGTTTGCATTGCATTTCGACAAATGGTGAGACAGAATGTAAGAAAGAAGAGGGGCTGGGCTCCTCTTTTATAACTACTCACTTTGACAGAACTACCTCAGAGGACAAGGCCAACGTCCTCGGGGCTACAATAGCCTTGCACTAGGCCCCACCTCCTATTTATTTATTTATTTATTTATTTATTTGAGACAGGGCCTCACTATATATCCAAATATACATATTTGCTATGTAGACCAAACTGGCCTCCCAAGTGCTGAGATTCAAGACATTCAGTGTCTGAAAGGTTACATCACCTCCCAGTATTTACACCGAGGTCCAAGCTTCCACCAGACAGAAACACTCAAACCAAATCCAAACCACAGCATCATCTGAGGGCCAGTGTACAGTGGGTTAGAGTGGACAGAGGGCCAGGCAGATGGCTGAGCCAGCCAAGTGCCTGCAACACAAGTCCAGATATCCACAATCAATCCCCAGGGGCTCTCTGTTTGTAATTTGAGGCTGGGGAGGCAGAGGTAGGAGGATTCCTGGAGCTTCTTGGCCAGTCAGCCTACCCAAATCAGCAAGCTCAAGGCCACTAAAGAGATCTTGTCTCCAATAAATAAATAGGTAGATAAATAAGGTGTATGGAACCTGAGAAATGACACTAAAGTTAATCTCTGGCCACCACACACATGTACACGTGTACACACAATACAATCCGACACACATACATACACGCACTCACACACACTCACATGCACTCACACACACTCACATGCACACGCACTCACACATACATGCGCACACACACTCACACATGCACTCACACACACTCACACATACTCACATGCACACACACACACACACACACACACACACACACACACACACACACACATTGGGTAGAGCCCTGATAAACAGGAATGTGATGATCAGTGTGGAGTAGGATGGAGGAATACAGGATGGGAGGTGTCCAAGAGCAAACTGGAGAAAGATCCTAGGTTGTGACTTACCTCTAGCTCTGCTCTTACTAGGAGGGTCTTGGAGGCCACACGCCAGGCCAACCTGACTGGCCACTTCCTTTGGGTTGGCTCAGACAGCTGGGGATCCAAGATCTCCCCCATCTTGAACCTAGAGGAGGTGGCTGTTGGGGCCATCACCATCCTACCCAAAAGGGCTTCCATCGATGGTAAGTCCCCCACCCCACTCATCCTCCCAAATGTTTCCTCTTTGGGATGCTCATTTCCATATTTGTAGGAACAACTCTCTTCTAGGAGTCCCAGATGCTATGACTCTGAGAGTCTCTGGTTATATCCCAGCAAGCATGCTTGAATGTGGCCTATGAGGGAAAGGACACTCAGTTCAGTGTGTAGGGCAAAGAACCCCTGGTGTTCTGCTGTTGCTTTTAAACATCATGCATATAGTTTGGGTTTTATCAAAGGTAATTTAAATGGGAATGTTGGAGGGAGAGAAACTAAGGATGTGGAATATATATCCTGCTGATCAAAGTGATGAGACCAGGTCTAGTTTGTCTGCCCACCAGCTCCCTTTCCATCTGTGAGGTTCACTTTGTGAGATGTTTGTCCATATCTCTGAATGCTGAACCAGAAATGCAGCATTGGTGACAGGCTTTGGGAACCCGGAAGAAGAGCACCGTCTCCCACAAGCTTCCAGCTTTAGTGGGGTGTTCACCTTCGCATCCATTCTTTTAGCTAGAATGCTAAATAAATGCCAAGTGGAGAAACTGGACTGAGCAGAGTGTTAGCAATCAGGGCATTTTGTCAGAAGAGGTCTGGAAGCGGGGGAGGGTATCAGGTGTGGAACAGTGAGCCAATGGTCTTCTCAGAATCTTGGGGTCTGCTTGCCCTTCTTTTCTAAAGCTTTGTTTCTTTTCTGTCTCTGGCCTCATGGTCACAAGATACATAGTGAAGTCTTGTTAATTACGTAGCCATAGCAACACCCTAATGGGGACAGAATGGGCAGTGATAAATTCTTTAAGGTTGCAGATTTTACCCTGGAAGTCCCATGTATCTTCACCTTTTTCTCCCATTTTCATGTGTGTGTGTGTGTGTGTGTGTACATGATGCACATGTATGTGTGTGCATGTGAATACAGGATGGACATGTGTATGCGTACATGTGGCGCCTTGAGGTTGATGTCAGGAATCATCCTCAATTATTTCTTCACCTTATTCACCAAGGCAGGGTTACTCAATCCAGCCCAGAGATCACCAATATGGCTAGCCCTGCTAGGCACCTTGCTCTGGGGATCCCCACCCCAATCTCTACCTTCAGAATCTAGAACTTGATCACAGGACTACTCCTGGAAAGAATGTGGGCCAGTGACAAAGGACCATGAGATAAGTCCGCCTGGTTCAGAAGGTTACCGCCCTCCCGCCTCTTAGGATTTGACCAATACTTCATGACGCGTTCCCTGGAGAACAACCGCAGAAACATCTGGTTTGCCGAGTTCTGGGAAGAGAATTTTAACTGCAAACTAACCAGCTCAGGGGGTCAGTCAGACGATTCCACCCGAAAATGCACAGGTGAGCACTACCCGGGATGGGGAGGACGACGGGGAGAGGATAGGGCGTTCAGGTTTGGTGTCTAGGGGCCAGGCACACTTCCTCTTGGCCTCCTAGGACAGGTGAGGAACGCATCGGCCAAGACTCCACCTATGAGCAGGAGGGGAAGGTGCAGTTCGTGATAGATGCTGTGTACGCCATCGCCCACGCACTCCACAGCATGCACCAAGCACTCTGCCCAGGCCACACAGGTCTGTGCCCAGCCATGGAGCCTACGGATGGCCGTACACTGTTGAACTACATTCGAGCAGTCCGCTTCAATGGTGAGTTGGTGCCTGGCCCCACAAGGTGGGGAAGCCAGCTTCCACAGGTTGATCTGCAGCAACCGGGACAATTCAGAGTGGAAAAAAGGCAGGATGGAAGAGAAGACACTAGGACTGATTCCTGGGGGTTTGATGCAAGTGCAAGCCTCTGCTTTTTAACCCTCTGGGGGCTTCATCTTCAGAGCCAATTGGCAGAATTCGATGTTGGGGAACTGCTGCTTGACCCATCTACCAAGCCTGACAAGTCACATAGAACTAACTCCCTGTCCACTGCACACTGCTTAGAAGACCCAGGCTCTGTGTTGGGCCCGGGGTCCAGTACGGACCCCAGCAAGCTCCCTGTTGTGGATGGAAAGCCCACTCTGAGTCACAGACTTCCAAATGTAGTCCCAGTCAGGTCTGACATATCCCTGCACCATCAGAACCTGCGTAAAGTCCAGGTTCTAAGGAATGTATCTGAACAGACCCAAAGGAGTCCCCATGTGCATGGGGCTTGCAGGAATTGTGTTATATTCAACTACTATCCTGCATAAAATTGTACACTCTCCACCAGATATTTGGGATGCCTGCAGTTTAGGATTGGCGAGAGTTGTGTGTGTGTGTGTGTGTGTGTGTGTGTGTGTTTGTACACTTGGGTGCTTGTCTGTGGAGTAACATCGGGTGCTCTACTCTAGCTCTCCCTACCTTACTCCTTTGAGTCAGGGTCTCTCACTAAAACTGGAGCTAGGGTGGGGGCTAGCAAGAGCCAGCAATCCTCCTGCCTCTGCCCCTGAGCACTGGGAGTGAGTGCTAAGATCTGAACTCAAGTTCTCATGCGTGAGCAGCAAGGGCTCTTACCCACTGAGCCATTTCCAGCTCTGAGAGGTATGTTTTGTCCCATGTCCTCCTCATGGCTGGGAGGCAGCATCGCCTTGTCTGAAGCTACATCACTGCTAATGAGTGATGCTGAGCATCTTGCCAGGAGCCGGTCAAGCTCTTCCTGTATCCTGGCTGTTCCTTGAGGCTTTCCAAAAGACGGCTTTGGGGCTGGAAAAGCAACTGGAGACAACTGGCCTCTCCCTGCAGGCAGCGCAGGAACCCCAGTGATGTTCAATGAGAATGGAGATGCCCCCGGGCGCTATGACATCTTCCAGTACCAGGCAACCAATGGCAGTGCCAGCAGTGGCGGGTATCAGGCTGTGGGCCAATGGGCAGAGGCCCTTAGGCTGGATGTAAGTGTCAGGGACTAAGCTCTGGGTGGTGGTGAAGGGCTCTGAATTCCTGGTGGCAGTGGTCAGCAGCCTGTGTTCTCTCTGTCCCAGATGGAAGCCCTGCAGTGGTCAGGAGACCCCCATGAGATGCCTCCTTCTCAATGCAGCCTCCCCTGTGGGCCTGGTGAACGGAAAAAGATGGTGAAGGGTGTCCCTTGCTGCTGGCACTGTGAAGCCTGCGATGGGTACCGCTTCCAGGTGGATGAGTTCACATGTGAGGCCTGTCCAGGGGACATGAGGCCCACACCCAACCACACTGGCTGCCGCCCCACACCTGTGGTCCGCCTGACCTGGTCTTCTCCGTGGGCTGTGCTGCCCCTTCTCCTGGCTGTACTGGGCATCATGGCCACCACCACCATCATTGTCACTTTCATGCGCCACAATGACACTCCCATAGTCCGCGCCTCCGGCCGCGAGCTTAGCTATGTGCTGCTCACTGGCATCTTCCTGATCTACGCCATCACCTTCCTCATGGTGGCTGAGCCTTGTGCGGCTGTCTGTGCTGCCCGAAGACTCCTGCTCGGCTTGGGCACTACCCTCAGCTACTCGGCCCTGCTCACCAAGACCAACCGCATCTACCGCATCTTCGAGCAAGGGAAACGTTCTGTCACGCCACCACCCTTCATCAGCCCTACATCACAGCTGGTCATCACCTTCTGCCTCACCTCTCTGCAGGTGGGTCCCCAGATTTCTCAGTAACGTGGTGAGTGCATGAGGGATGCCTAAGTTCCTCCACCTTGGAACTTAGAAAATAAGAGACTAGGGGTACAATTCAATTGGTAGAGGGCTTTCTTAGCATGCAAAAGTCCTGGGTTTGATTCCCCAGCACAGCATAAATCCAGCATGGTGACACACGTCTGTCACCCTAGTGCTCAGGAGGTGAAAGTAAGAGGATCAGAAGTTCAAAACCATTCTCGTGTCCACAGCAATTTTCTGGCCAGGTGTAGTAGCACACATCTTTAAATATGTACTCAGGAGACAGCTCTCTGTGCTAGATACATAGAGAGTTCTAGGTCAGCCTGGTCTACATTGTGAGACTCTGTCTTTAAAAAAATAAAGCCTTCAGAGAAGTGGGCTTCATAGAGTCAACTTTTTCCACTTGGGACCCTGTGTTTAAAAAATTAGAAGGACAGACCAAGTGTGGTGGTCCATGCCTTTAATCCCTGAACTTGGAAGGCAGAAGCTGGAGGATCTCTGTGAGTTTGAGGCCAGCCCAGATGACACAGTGAGACTCTGTCCAAGCAACCAGCAGAACACTGCACTGTTTTTCTTCAAAATGAGCACAACTCACTTTTAAACAGCCCATTTCCATTGCTAAATCTGTACAGGAAATGGAGCATCCAACTGTTCGGCCATGTTGTTATCTGCTGAAGTTAAATGGGGTCTCCCACAGCTTAGCTCCCACGTGAAAATAGGGCAAAAATGTGTCCCAGAGGTCGCAGTTGCTGTGGAGTGCAGCATTCTTTCTGCTGAGGCCAACATCTCATGATGGAACAAAGATGAAAAAACTGGGGTTCAAAGTTCCCACAGTGTCTCCTTAAGTGCAGCTATTAACAGAGTGGGACAGAACTCCACAGACTGGGTGTCTTCTATGGGGAGGGGACTAAGACGAATGGGCTGAGTCGGGGTTGCCGTGACTGGTATGACAGAGTATACCCTGCCATGCTCTCTGGGTGCCGACACAGCCTGGCCCATGTTGACAAGGCACACTGTCCTGGGCAGATGACCTTCCTCCTTTCTGGATTTGTATCCCCTGTTTTCAATTCCACTTCAATGGATTCTCTATGCTTAGAAGATGCTGGATCTTTCTTTAGAAACCATGCCCCAAGCATCCTGAGAAGGTGCAATAACCCTCACCCTTTGGATGGAGATGCTTATGAAACATTCGGTGTTCCCCCATCCCCTTCACACTCATCTGTTCTGCCTCATGAATTTGGATTCTCCACACTTTCAGCTTTTCTGGATGCTTCTACCAATATAGTGAATATGTAGTGGTCTTCCTTCCTTCCTTCCTTCCTTCCTTCCTTCCTTCCTTCCTTCCTT